ATAGTTTCGGAGATAAAATCAAAATAAAAACAAATAACAAACCTTATTTTTTTAATATACCTTTTAAATTCTGATTCTAATATCCGATTTGGACATATAATCAATGCTTAATTCTGAAAAGCGGTAAATCCACAGCATAAAAATTGATGCGGATTTTACCACCATTCTTTTCGCTGGGGACTGTAATATGCACAGGCTTAATAGGAGAATTGTCAGGTTTAAACAACTTAGATGCCTTTTCGACTAGTGTTCTAGCCATTACTACTCCAGTAGATACGAATACTATGCATTTATCCTACCTCAAAAGATCATATCTATTCATATAGCTTCAGCTCCACTATTTAGATCATAAACAAATTTAACTGTCTCACCTATATGAGGCTAATACTTATCATCAATTGTGCGAATATTTTCACTATAATAAGTCTGGAGAAAGGTTAGTGTTGATGTATTTGCAAAAATATTCATAGCTAAAATATATCTCACAGATCTTAATACATCACATATTGCATTCTTAGATTTCCATGCATTTGTATTGCTAGACATTTGATGCATAATGGCATTAGCTTCATTAAGAATAGCTACAAATGAATGGGCTGTGAACTCAATATGGAAAAGACTCTTAACCTGTACTATGATAATATTCCACTCATTTATAAATAAGTCTTTTTGTATATTTTGATAATTGCAAATTCGAAAACCAGATATTTTTAGCTCATCAAATTTCGTTTTTGATTTATTCTAAGAGACTTTTAATAAGAAATTCAGATATAATATGGCAAAGAAGAGAGATCATGTACCTTATTTTTCAATATCATAATAATCTCTCTTAATGTGGTAGTTTTTCATATTTGCAGAGAAGAACTAATAAGTGTTGTTATTTTTCAATACCCAAGAAATCGGAATATACTTTTGGAGTATCCTTTAATTTTTCTATATTAATAATCGTTTCTGATAAGCTTACAATAGTGTGTGGATTTGATATAGTGTCACCTATTCTTTCAACTAATCCTTTCTTAGGTTTTACAGAAATTTTGGTCCCCTTATCAAATACTAATCCCTTATGATCTGGTTTATAATTTTTCTGCTGATAACATTTGAGTATAAAACACCCAAAACACCCATTGCTCTAAAGAAAGCCATATAACTGATATTATCATGTTTAATTTCACAAATAGGATATGCTTGATATAATTGGACTTAAAAGTGAACAAATCCATTTCCAATTCTTTCAATTCCAAGCTATTTATATTTTCAATAACTAAGTTAGCTTCCTTACTTTAAGGTGGTTTCATCTTCGATATGTTAAAATTCCTCTTTTTCTGACTTCTTAGAAGAAAAGGTTTGTGACTAGATTTTAAAACAATCAGATTTAGAATGAACTAAATAATCTTCTAACTTGCAATACCCTTTCTTAACTGAAGAAATTGCAGGTCTTTTAATTTTATTTTCTTTTGCTGACCTAAGGAGCCAAAACTAAAGCGTGATTTATAAAGTCCTATATCAATAAACTCAAAGTATAATTTTCTAACCCTATTTAGCAATCTTTTTTACAAAACCTCTATGGTCTCTATAGTCAATAAAGTGGATATCAGAATATACAATATGCTAGCTACATTTATCAGAATTAGATGAACTGGCCAAATTAAATGCATTTAAAGTTATATGATGTTTTAAATCAAAATATAAGATATTGGCATAAACAATTAAGATTCTAGATAGCAAATCTTCTCAAGTAATTCCTTTACCATTTAAAGAAGGAAGTTTAGAATTCGTGAAATTGGGCTTCTGCCTCGTATCAATATTAAGAACAAGACAAAGAGGCAGGTTACTATCAATACACTCATGAGCATCAGGAATCCTATAAACTTCGATAGGTGATCAATTAGTGTAAAGCCCGATCCTACCATCTGAATGATATATTTGAAAACAATTTTTTCAGTATGATAGGCTTCTAAAATGGCTACATTCTCTCTAGTATTAAATGCCAATAAATGTTGAAAATATGTTTAATTATTATAGCCAGGCTTATAATCAAGATCTGTTATACCTGAGAAGAGCCTTATTGCTTCATTTATTTTTATAGGATTGGGTTCGAATTTTTTTTATGCAAGTAGTATGGTAGTATAATAGTATATGCAAGAAATCAGTATAAAATAATAGAGAAACTTGCAAAGTTTAAAATAAAAAATGTAATATGTATAACTCAAAAATGAAATAAACTATTCTGGTATCTAATTAAATTACTAGCATAAATATGCAATAAATATATTGAATAATATTCTAAAGCAATTGATGCAAAGATATTCTGAAGTAATAACTATACAGGAATGTGATCTAAAAGCAAAAACGTGCGAAATCTTGGTAACCCAGATAAGCAGAATTATATATAGGAAAGAAAAAATATATTTTGTGCATCTGGGTTACCAACTTGGCATTTTGTATCTCATCCTCAGCAATCAAATAGGCTATGAAAGGCGGAATTGGAAGAATAGCATAATATCAGCATTATATGCTTCACCTGGCAATCAAGAGATAGTGAATAGATTGTGACATATTTTAGGCAAATAAACAGATTGCAAATTTGGCATTTTGTACTTCAAACCGGCAATTAAAAGTATAATGGATAAAAAAATGGATTGTAAAATCAGTATCATCTCAGCAATCAAATGGAATAAAGTGACTGGATTGCAAGTTCAGCACTTCATGTCTCACCTGGCAATTGAAAAATAGCAAATAGATTGTAAAACATCTGGCAAATAGATGTATTACAAACTAGTCACTTTACATGTGTCTCATCCTATTAACCAAATGGGTCAGCCATATTGAACCTCTGATTTTCTAACCAATTGACCACCAAACTAGGCTCTTAAAAGTTACTCAAAAGTTACTTGAAAGTGACGGAGAAGTGCCTAGAACTGGTGAAAAACCAAAACACGTGATTAACATAGTAAGGTGCAGAAAATTTCACTTAATTTCAGTTAATACTATTTCATATTTTTTTCCCAATATTTGGAATGCAATAACTCAGCATCTGGGTATTCAATTTATGCAGTCTTAGCATCATCGGAAAGCTCTTAATATCCTCTTTCAAGCAACCTCAAAACTGCACGAATCTAATTACAGGAAGCCATGATATTCTGCACTAAAGATCAGATCAAAAATAGGCATAATGCTAACCAAAATCTGATTCGCAAATTTACTGCACCACCTGACTACAACTATTTTTTTGGCAATCAATGACGACTAGCATCTTAGCCACAAAAAAATCACAGAGTAATGAAAACAAGCGGATATCAAGAAGACAATAAAAAGGCTATAGAACAATAAATTAAGCGGATAGCTACAAAGCAACAAAAAGATCACAAAACAATAAAAATAAGCAGATAGCTACAAGGTAATAAAAAGGCCACAGAGCACTAAAAATAGTAATGAGATAACAATCTATCAGTAATTAGGTAGCAGTCTAGGTAATAGTCTAATGCAACTGGATTATACTCTTACAAGAGTGTAATCTAGTAATTTCTTAATAATTTTGTATTTATTAGATTTCAAAAAATAAATTATTTTAAACAACATAAAAAATTTTCTTTTACAGAAAAATAAATAAAGGACTATTGGTATCTATTAGTTAATAATGATCATCAAATAAAAAATTTGTAAAACATATTAAATCTTGTTTATGGATCGATAAACATAATGAAAGAAATTAATCTATTAGACAAAAATGATGTAATAAATCTTTAGAATTATCACAATATAATATTTAAGCTTAATTTGATATCTATATATTCAAAGTATAAAAAAAAAATTATTTTTTGGTTTGAATATTATTATTTTTTATTTTTTTATTTTATGTAAAATTTATATGTTATTTCAAATTCCTTAATAATTCTGTATACATCAATTTTCTAAAAAATTTAAAAAAATAAATCATTATAAAACATACAAAATTATGATACGGAATCATCAATTACGTATACAAATCTTATAAAAAATATATCATTTCCTTATTTTGATTTCTTATAGGAAGAACAATATAGAAATCATTTAAAAGAAATGATAATTTGATCATTCCTTACGAACAATGATAAAATAGTTTGAAAGGAATGATAGTTTAATTGTTTTTTAAGATGATATCAAAATTATTCGAAAAGAATGATAATTTAATCATTTCTTAAGAATGATGACAAAATTGTTTGAAAGAAACAATAATTTAATCATTTCAAAAAATAATAACACAAATTGTTTCTGAAGAAATGATGATGTATCATTCCAAAAGAACAATGATATATTATTCCAAAAGAATGATGAAAAAAATCATTCTAAAGGAATAATGATTTGTTCCAAAAAAACGATAAAAAATATTATCTAAAGGAATGATGATAAATCATTCCTTAAAAATAATAAAAAATCATTGTTTTAAAGAAACAATGATGTATTATTTTAAAAAATGATAGAAAATATTATTTTAAAGGAATGATGATAAATTGTTCCTTAAGAATGATAAAAAATTATTGTTCTAAAGAAACGATGATGTATCATTCCAAAAGAACAATAAAAAATATCGTTCTAAAGGAATGATGATAAATCATTTCTTAAGAACAATAAAAAAATCGTTCTAAAGGAATGATGATGAATTATTCTAAAAGAACGATAAAAAAATTATTCTTTCAGAATGATGATATATTGTTTCTTTGTGAATGATTTCTATTGTCTCTTTAAAAATGATAATTCGTTCCTTTGGGAACGATTTCTATTGTCTTTTTGAAAATAATATTTCGTTCCTTTGGAAATGATTTTTATCATCTTTTTAAAGATGATTCTATCATTCCTTTGAGGATGATTGTTCATTCCATTTATTAGAGATAATTTCAATCATTTCTTTAGGAATGATTTTATCGTTCCTTTGGAGACAATTCTATCATTTCTTTAAGGATGATTTTTATCATCTCTTTAGCATCTTTAGCAATGATTTCTATCGTTCCTTTTAGGATAATTTCTATCATCTCTTTGAGAACGATTGTTTGTTCTTTTAGAAATGATTTTGATTGTCTCTTTGAAATGATTACTCTCAAAATGTTTTTATAATTTCGCAAAAATTGGCTAACAGATTTTGACCAGTAAGATATAGTCAATATGTTGTCAAATCTTAAGTCTAACTGAAATTTTGCTAAAAATTATAACTAAAAGATTTTAATGCTAAATTATATATAATGTAACAAATTACTATTGATTTTTGTAACTTAAGCTGAATTTTTTCTGAATAATATGACCAAATCGGCTGAATGTTTAACAAAAGATCTAATACTGAAATAAAGTTAAATTATGTGTGATGTAACAAATAACTATTGATTTTTGTAACTTAAGCTAAATTTTTGCTAAATCATATGATTGAATTGGCTAAATGTTTACTGAAAGATATTAGTGTTAAAAGACTAGTAAAGATTACTAATAAATTATTAGATGAAGTTTATAAAAATGTAATAATGTAAATAGATGAACAAATTTCTAAAGCAATAACTTTTTATATGATTTTTGATGACTGGTTTAATAAATAGAGAATAAATATATAATTTTGTTATATGTATTCAAAACTTTTTTTTAATGTAATCTTTTTAAGTAAAAATGGATTATAAATCAAATAATTTAACAAATAGATATAATTGGTATTTATTAATTCTTATAGATACTATAACTAATTTATTAAAATAACATGAAAAAATATTAAAGATAAATATCTTATTATAGTTTGTTTTAAATGAAATTCTTATGTTCTTAATCTTTTAATTGAAGATATTTACAGAATTAAAGCTATAATTTATAATGCAAAATGATGGTAGTTTATTTTAAGCAGTAACAAAATTAAAGTACATTTAATTGAAAAATTATAACAAGAAGATTGCATTAGTTTTACCAGTAATTATATGATAGGATCAATCACTTAAAAATCAAGAATTGCTTTTGAACAATCATGATAAAGCCTTTAATTCACCAAAAATAGATCAAATAATGAGAAATAATATATTATCAAATGATTTTGACAATTGGTAGAATTGATAGTAAAATTTTAGAACCAATAATTACAACATTGAAGTTTTTTGAATCAGATACATCTACTCTTTCAACAGTTTATTCATATTATAACATTAATAGGACCTGGTAAATTTTCATGAAATTTTCTTAGAAGAAAATCAAAATACAGATTTAGAAGCAACCGGGTATTTCTGTATTTACAACATTTACTAATAATTAGTTTGATCAGGAAAAATCTGTAAAATTGTTTATTGAACTTGTAAAATTTCGCCAAAAAGCTTTACCATATGATAATGAAATAATTTGGATGTCATCATCTACTCTTAGTTTTTCTGTTTGGTGGAAATCATGACAAAGAGTATTATCAAAATTTTTTTAATTCCAATGTCATGCAGAGAGAAATGTTCAATTTTTGGATTTATTCATAGCAAAATCCGAAATCGATTACATAATGATCGCCGGAACTTTAATTATTTTTAAAAAATCTCTCTATTACAATTTGGTCCCTTTTCGCAGCACTCACCCCATATGTTCAAATTTAACATTAACTTAACCATCCCTAAATGTAACTATAAATACCGCATATTTTCAATACGTGAAACTTTAAAAAATTTTTTTTTTTGAATCTTGTTTATATAACACACCTCGATATTTTACGATATTTTGTGAATGTATTATAGATTTCCCTTTTTTTTTTAATATAATACCGAAAGATAATTTTTATGAAATTAAAATATAACTCGAATTCCTAGCGCTAGTTGCCGAGAATTTTTTTTTTTTTTTTTTTTTTTTTTTTTTTTGCTCTTGCTCTTTTGGATATGTAAAATAAAAATGTTTACAACACAAACAACGACGTGTCCCATCACAAATACAGAGGTGCCATTATTTAATTTTGACAATTTAAGAATTGAATCTCTATCAAATGATAATTTCGATACAGGTCGACAACTTTGCAAAGAAAAACAACACCAAATTTGTCTGAATCTAATATCTATGTTAGGATTATCACAAGGTATCAGTGAAGAAAAAATTTCAAATATTCTTTCTACAAATTTAAAAACTTTTGATTCTTTCGAGAATGCAATTGGTGTCGTATTGAATAAAATTATCAAATATACGTCATCAAATGTACAACAAGTAAACAAGATTAAGGAGGATGTAATCGCAAGCAACAAGAAAAAATCTCTATCACCTAATAAGGCGGATCAACTAAATCAATCACCAAGTGCGGGAGGCGTGGTTCCTTTAGCGCATGAAAGTGATAATGAATTTTATGATATGGAAATACCTGATGGAGACTTTAATGTAATAAGTAAGGAGGTTCATGACGGAAAAAATAACTCTACTAGTCAAGATAATGTGATTGATTCTAAATTTGATAAAGAGGATAATGTTGAACTTGATGAAAGTTTTTTAATTGAGAAAAAGCATGATCCTGTAAATGCGGGATGTAATCGCGAGGAAGAAAGATCATTTTGGATTTGCAATGCTGCCGGAATTACTAAACCTGAATATTTAGATGGTTCAAATGCGGAAAGTCTTCTTATTACGAATGTTAATTTAAATTCTCAAAGTGATGGAATTGATTCACTACCAAGATTTAAAATATTTAGTAAGTTTTAATTTTTCCTTTATATCGTTATTTTTATATAATTACAAAATTATTGCTTATATTTTGAATTTAGGTGGACATTTACAAGCAGCAGAGTTTAAAAATCATGTTAGATCACTCGGGTTACCATCATTACCAGAAATTCGTGATATTAATATTCGTAAAATAGCCAAAGGAAGAGAAAAGTACAGAGGACATTGGAAACGTTATGAATATTTAGGAAATTATGTGCTTAAATTATCCACTTTGAGAATTGTTCTAGAATACTTTATGAAACCTTTAAACCATTCGTTAGAGAGTATTATTGACTTTTTAAATAGTAGAATACTATTCGTTGCTTATTGTATATGTCTAAATTTACATGAAGATAATAACATACCCCAAGACGCTCATTATAAGATATATGCTGATGCATATATAGCCTTCTTTGGCGGACTTTATTTGGATCAAGGTGAAGAAGTGGTAACTGAATATCTTACAGAGTTAATGACGCCTTTATTGTGTAATCTGACTGATTATCAACATAATGATATCGAGTCGCAACCACTCAATATCCAAACGATGAGACAATTAGCTGCCAGATACTTTAACTTGGAATGGCTTATTTGGATTATTTAAAAAAAAGGAGGAAGGGGAAAATGGTTAATTAATGAGAAATCATATTGTTATATTTTCCTCAATAATGGTATGGCGTGGTGTTTTTTAATGAAATGTACTATCAATAATAAGAGTCTCTCACAGAGCAGTTTATCTTATATTTTAATAAAGGAACTAAAAGAATGAATAAATTGGTTCCAATCCTTAAGCCTTTGTCTTTCTGATTAGATCATTTCAAAAGAGATGACGGATTATAACCACATCCATTTAAAGCTCACCTTAAAGAATTGATTACATTTATTCAATATCAATTGGTTAAATAGCATATGGTTAGATGATTTTAGAATTTTATCATGCTCAGTGAGTCGTGTATAAAATGGTGAATATAAAAATTTATACAATGCAACTCTGATTAAATATATTTGATAAGATCACTTTTTTGAACTCTTTCGTTATTAATTCAATTGATGTTTCCGATAATAATTCTTTAACCTTTTTGTTATTTTTATTCATTCCCAACATAATGAAGTTGTATTCAGTTAATTCAGAATTTTACACATCAAACCTTTAAGAAAGCGAGAATAAAAAAAGAAAAAAGATAATTTTAAAATTTTTGATATGAAGGATTTTTTTAATATATCCTTGTTTCAAAAAGATTGATTATTTTATATATATATATATAAAAAAAACCTTCATTATAAACTTTTGAAGGTATGGGATTAGGATTTTCTGGTACATCATTGTAGATGGTAACTAAACGGATTGAATATTTATCAAATGTTAAAGTGTATGTTTTATGTCCTTTCACAAAGCGAATATGATGAGATAATTGGAATTATTTTCGATTATTTATAATCAATCAATTAATCATAAAATTTATTCAGTTTTCTTTGGATCAACCAACTTGGTCTTTTCTTGTGATTCAAATTTTTTTCTTAACAAAACAGGAATTAAAGCTGTGATAGCAATTAATGACATCGCAACGATATTTTGTGTGGTCAAAAAAGAGAATTCATCAGACTCTGACAACACGTGAATCGTTTCTCCGGCTTGAACGTGAATAAAAGATAATGGTGCGACACCTTTAAATTAATAAAGAATTTTAAAGTCAAGTTATATATAAATAATTAAAAAAAAATTTCAAGATATTTTATGCGTAAATACCAATGAAAGTCGCCCAATAAAATACTCTGATATCAACTCCTAGATGAGGTGACGCTATATTTATGAACCAATTTGGTAAGAAAGGTGCTATTCTAAGAAATATGATATATGAGAATAATCCCTTTCGATGCGCGTTTAACTTTATTGTATTTTAAAAAAAAAATGAATAAAAATACAATGATATTTTCAAGAAGATCAAGAAAGGCGAAGGTTTCAAACCTGTACGTTCCAACGTTCCATTCGCTCAGCGAGATAATTTTGAGTTACCGGCTGCCCCAAATAGTAAGACAACAGATAAGAAATCGTTGCACCTGTACCTGTACACTTTTCTCGTAGAATGATGATATACATTAATTCAAAGATAAATAAAAGAAATAGTTTTTTAAAACAAAAAAAAAATGCTCAAACAAGTCCACCTTTGCTTACAAAACTAACAAGAACCAAAGCCTTCCAACTTCCCCATAAAGTTCCCCCTAACACGCTAAGCATCACACTTCCTGGTACCGCAAAAGACTGTAAGCTATAAAAATTCCGATTAAATCAAGATTTGTGAAATAAGCAAAGAGTCATCGTACTTACAAGATATAAGTTGCAATGTAACATATTACGATATAAATATCATCGTTTCCATGACCTGTCAAAGATTCATGGATTAATCTTACATCTTGCAAAGTTCTTGGGAATTTCAGGACATCTTTCCTATTAAAGGAATAATAAAAAAAGAAATTTAATTATAAAAAAAAAAAGAAAAAAAAACTTTGTAATTTACCCTTCTTTTGGTAGATAAGTATCGAGGATAAAATATAAAACTCCAGCAGATATTATAAAAATAATTGTAAGAGATATTATTGAAATTAAAATCGAAGTTTTTGTCTTAGAAAATGTCATATGATTATATTAAAAAACGAAAAAAAAATTAAAAAATTCGAAAAAGAATGAAAACAAGATACCAAAATGAAAATCGAATTTTATTTATGCAGATTTATTTACTTGCCGAAAAGAGTATTGCTCAGTGCGTGTTTGGCAGCACACGTGTTTGCGACATTATAGCTGGTGATTACGTAATAAACTTTTTCTATAATATAAATTGCTTTTAATTTCTCTATTACATTATCAATTTGCTCATTTGTAAAGAAACATGAGCGAAGATATCAACATTGAAACCGAATTAGGCGATGATGAGTTTTACGTTGAAAAGATTTTGGATCATACGTGGACTAGAGAAGTAAGATGCAACGTGATAATTATAACATATAGAGATTGTTTTAACAAGCTAGAGCCTTATTTAATAGGGAGAACCTTTATTTTTACTTAAATGGAAAGGTTTTCCTGAAGAAGAGAATAGTTGGATAGAACATGACAATATGTAAGTGAGATGAATTAATTTAAATAAATGAAGAAATTAATATTATTAATTATATAGATGTGCCGTAAAACTTATTGAAGAATATTGGAAAAGTATTGGTGGGAAACCAGATCCAAACAATAAAAACGCCATAAAAGGTCCCAAAAGCTTACCATTATATGACAACAAAGAATTGACGAATGAAAAATTGTACACGAAACCCATGATAAACAATAAAGAAGAATTTCCATTCGTCATTCCAATGATAACGGATCCAACCATTTATCAGCCAAACTGGGAAGAATTCGTTGATAATATCTTAGCGATTGAATGTTCATCAAATTTTATTTACGTCAGGATTAAATGGTATATTCATTCATCGCTAATTTACTCTGAGTCAACATGTGCTGAAATTTTAAAGTTTGTAGGATTACAGGACATATAACCAAGCATCCATCGATCGAGGCGAACTACAGATGTCCTATCAAGGTAGTCATTTAATTCATTTTTGGTGTTTCTTTAATATGATATTCACCACATATATCATTATCATTAGATTCTTCAGTTTTATGAATCCCATATAAATTTTATGCAAATAGAATAATTTGCATTTTCGATATTAAGAAAAACTTATTAAACTAAGAATTTTTCATAATGAAAATCATATTTTCAATACAAATTAAAGTATTTATCACCATATGAATGTTCAACTGTAATTTCATTAATTTCATTGAGATTAACAAAATTATTCTTGCTATTTTTGGATTATGTTCAGATAGAAATTTGGTTCAGCAAGAACCTGATAATTTCTTGTTCATTGATTTTCTATTAATTTACCTAAAATTGCCTTTCTATAGACCAACAATTTCTTCATATTTCAAAACCAATAAGCTCTTTCTTTTCATACATACTTCAAATTTTATTAATAAAATAAAATAAAATAATATAAAGTACCCAATAAAGGTCATCGAATTAACTTATATAAAGAAGCATTTATCTAACTAGAATCTTTTCTTTTAAAAAGGTACAATGAAATTTCATGCATTATAAAGACCAGTTGAAATAATAGAAATCTTAGAATCTTATAAAAATTGCATAAAATAATAACCGGCTTGATAAAGTTTGACTGTTAATCAGTAAATTATATATAATTTCAAGAGTATATAGTTTTTCAAAAGTATCTTAAATGTCATCATTGATTAATAGTATGATCAGAATATTTTAAGATTGACTTGATTTATTACTTATCATTCCTTGTATTAATCGTTCAGAGATTTTACAAATAAATTAATCCTTTTTACTGTCAAACGTTTAGCTTGTATTTAGATACAGGATGTTTTATTCCAAAGAAATATTGACGCAAAAAAAAGAAGGATTTGGAATAATTTGGTATGATCAATTTAAGTTATTTGCATAATTGGTGTAGAATCACTACCAGGACATTTTAATAATTATAGGTTGGCCGCAACTTTGGGCTCACGATCCAATTTTCGAAAACTTTCGAAAAAGGAAGTCAACTCGGTTGATATTGTCAATGCCTGGTACGCATCATGTTTTGTTTTATAAATTGGCGCAAGCTAATGGATCGTTTGTGGTCGTAATAGCAAATACATTACTACGCCACCCGAACCGCTCGCTCTTCGACTAACTTCCAATCTTATGGTTGGAATTTCACGTGTTTTTAATCAACAATATCATTTTTATTACAGTTGGGTTTTCTTTTCTTACATTTGTTTGTGATTATGTTATAATTACATTTTTTTTGTTTACATACTTTTATTTTAGCCGATGTGAATGGGGTATGGCATAACTTGCAAAAGGCTTTAACAGAAATTCGTGGAGAATCGATCGATATGACAAATCCACAAGCTAGGTGATTATTCAATTTCTCTTTTATAAAGGTAGTTTGTTCTTCATTGATTTACGTATTCATTTTAATTCAAGACGTGAAGCGATTACCTTGAAAGATGATCCTTTTTTCGAATTTGAATTAAATTTTCCTATGCATGGCATTACCATGGTAAAACATAAATTACTTTAAAAAATTTACGTATCACCTTCTTAAAAAAAACACTAACTGAACTCGTTTTGGATTGTAAGATACATGATTTAGCAAATCAAATAGAGCTTGTACAAATCTCATCGTCATCGAATGAAGGTATTCGACAATGTCATAAAATATCGTTAAGACGTTTAACGACGTATAATTCATTCTTAAATTTTTTTTGTCTTTATTAAAGCTGTTTCCGTCAATGGGTCATATAATAAAAGTAATAAAAGTCAACTTTCATCAATAACTTTACCTGAAATTGATGCCGGATTCACTGCTTCATCTGGATTCGGTGTTGATTTGAATGATGATATCCTAATGAAAGATGATTCCGGGTGAATTTTTTTTTTATTTAAAAAAAAAAAAGACAAACAAATTTAGTATTTATTTTCTTCCTGATAATATTTTTATTTGCTATTAGGATAAGAATTGAATTTGATGCAGAGGGTGGTTTGCATGAGGTTTTCACGCTTCAACAACTTGATGATACGAGCGCAATGAATGATATAATCAGAATAGTAAATAATGACAATAACAAGGCTGGTCTTGAAGGAAGGAGAGAGAAACAAAGACGTAAAAGATGCCTCATAAATGAAGGGAATCCACAAGAAATTGTAATTAAATTTATGTTTGCATATAATTGTAACTGAATATATAATTTATGAAACTTATATTTAGGAAGTGAATAATGTATTGGACTTCAATGATTTCGAGGCACGAGATATGGAATTTAGTGAAGGAAATCAGCAACAAATTCCCGTTGAAGAACAAGATAATGTAAATAAGGAAAATGAACCTGACGAACATCCTTCACCCGAACAAAGACGCAAAAGGAGACGTAGAGTTCGAGTTATGTTCGATGAAGAAACTGAATTAACTAATGAACAAATACTTGAGATGCGTCAAGGAGTTATAGACGATCTGGATGAGGCCGAATTTGTTAAAAGAGAAAAGGTTTTACAAAATTCGATAATGCATTTTTTTAAATGTCAAATGCCAAATGCCAAATGTCAAAATGTTAAATTTTTATTTTCTATTTACAAATGTAAAAAAAAAAAAAGATGAGGATGCAAGAAAGCAAAAGGCAATTAGAAAACATTCTTTATACTCCTGGAAGGCCTTGTAAATGACTAAATATATATATATATTTTTTTTGCTTTTTAAAATGGTACGTTATTTATATAACGTAATATTTTAAATTTATATAGTCCTGGCTCCACAACTTGCTTCTTTATGGGAACAGCATTATGCTCCTATACTTTATGGTACGTAATATCTTCAAGCTAATTTTTGAAATGATATTGCATATGACTTGTTATATGCTATATAGATGAAAATGTAAAGAAGAGAAGAAGAGCTCAGCCATCAACTTCAGGTAAAGATAAATTGTTAAGTTATTATCAGAAAAGATATAAAAAATTGTAATGCAAACTTTATCTTTAGATTTAAATTTGGGTGAACGCGTTGAAAGAAATGATATTTATGTAGGAGGTTCTAGTATTCCAGTTAGTATTAATATGATTTTACGGTTTATTATTTCTTCATTTATTCCTAAAATGATCATTATTCTCTCCAGCGTGGTATTAGAGATAGTTTAAGAAGTGATGAGCCCGAGCGACTTCGTAAAGAAGGAAGCCAGCAAAGTTCAACCATTATGACTGGAATGGAAAACTTTGTTGGGCCTGAAATGGGTAAGTAATGGCAGTGATGGCAAATTACAAGGTCATTTACTATTTTTTCAAATGACCTTGGTCATTTTGACTTGAAATTTATAATAAAAGTGAGGTCATTTGAGGTCATTTCAAGGTCATTTCGAGGTCATTTGCCAACACTGAGTAATGGTACAATTTTATCTTTTCTTTTTTTTAATAAATTATAATAATTTTTTTTTTCACCACTTATTTTTATCTGAAGATAATTTTTTTGATCAATATTCTTCTGCGGGAGGCAGTACGGACGCAAACATGGATTTGTTGGGTCAACTTGAAAAGTAAGAAAAAACCATGTGATGAGATTTAATTCTTCGATACGTAAAAATAATTTGTATTATCATAGCGACGGCGGACGAAGACTTGATTCAATGGGATTTAATTTACCAGCCATTGATTTCTTAGACGATAAAATGTTAGAAGACGATAGCTTCGCATTGCCTAATTATCCAATATTTGGAGGTAAATTTACAATAATGTTATCATTATAGAGTAAATTCAACATCAATCTAATCTACCTTTAGATTTTTCTCTATTTGATAATCCAAGTCGCGTAGGACAATCAACGTCCATACATATAAATAGTGAACAAGAAGCAATGAATTTCCTAGAATCCATTAAATCAATTATGAATGAAGCTTGCGTTTCAATTGCCACTTTTCAAGATATCATGGAAACTCAACATGTTAGAAGACCTGATGTTGCGAGGAATTTTTATTACATTTTGGGTATGTAATGATCTTGATCGGTATATTTTGAATAATTGCCAATTAATTGAAATTTTTTCTTTTTTGATAAGCGCTCGCAAACAAGAATTTAATCAAAGTTAACCAATCTAAGGCATATGATAATATCGTGATTCAAGTTCGAAACTAGTGAATAATTTAAAATATTTATTGAGGAGGGATATTATTTATTAAATCTTCATTTAATTATTGAAAATCATCGATATCTTGTCATCAACATGAACCAAACCAACTTTTAAGTCATGCATGGCTAAGAAATATAATTTAACATTTTTATCTTAAAATCTTTTCTTACTGGCAAGCTAGCTTCTTATCATGATCAAGAGTTAAAGATGAAGATTCGATATCCAAAACTTATTTCGAAAGAGAAAATTATAATTAGTTTACTTTTTTTAAAAAAATAAAAAGGAATTACTTGTATTTACATAATACTCATTTAAAAAAAAATTATTAAACGTTTGTTAATAAAATATTTCTTTATTAATTGAAATATAATGCAATTCAACATGTTTAAAGTCACATTTTTAACGTCTTTGATTCGTATATGAGCTACGTCTAAATGAGCCACGTACGTTGGTGTTGATGGTGTTAGTGTTGGCGGTGTTGTTGTTGGTGGTGGTGGTGGTGGTTCCAATGAAATTCATTCTTTTAAAATCATTTTCTCTTTTATTCTTATTTCCAGGCATAAAAGATAAAGATGGTACGACTCCATATTTTTCTATCTCATCATTACTAATGTGATTATCTGGAGTGGGAACTGTGCTTTCCTTTTTTTTTCTCAAATGTAATAATTCATCAATTGTATAAGGATTTTGATGATATCCACTTTTTTCACTATCTTTTACAGCATTAATTAACATAACACTAACTTTTGATTCCCAATTGGTTTTTGGTAAAGGAAAGTTAATCATATTGAAGAAAATATTCCAAGTCTTTGCGGCGTAAATTTCTTTGATAAGAGAAAGAAGTGAGACACTCATCTCATCCGAAGGATACCCGTATTTTCTATCCATTTCTACTTCCTTTCCTCTCATCATTTTCAAAAATGCAACTTGAAACATCACAAGTCGTAATGAAATTCCACTTAAATTAAACGTTTTTTCTAATCTATATTTGGAAACATAATTACTTTTTTCCAAGAATGATAATTCTGGAGCACTATTTAAGTACCATACTACATTACGTGACAATAATTCTTCCAAGAAACAGGCGACAAATCTAGACCAGGAAATATTTTTCGCCAAGAACAAATAAATCATGAATTCACCTAAATTGGGTGTTGAAGTTTTATGCCGATTTTTTCGATCCGGATGCATAAATGCATTGATCTTCTTTTCAGCTTCCGTGATGATTTGAGGAAATATTTTCGATAGCTTTAATAACAAGTGTAATAAAAGACAATATCCTTGTAATGCTTTCTCAGATGCTTTTAAGACTTTTGATCTTGCTGATCGTTCATCACAAGCATTCATTAAAGCAACCACCATTGTATTCATAAGGCCAGGAATTGTCTTTAGAATTACCGAAGGATTCCACGGTTTCCCTCTTTCTTCTCTTAATTCCATTAAAGTTGATTGTATGATAGGTAAAGAGCGTTTGAAATGATACTTGTTTAATGCCACAGGAAGGAAATTGGTAAAGTGATCACCCCAGATACCTTGTCGTAAGTTATGATCTTTAAACGCTTCATAAGAAAAAAGATCAAATTCACTTAAACCAAGTTCTCTTCTATTTATTGGACCCCTACCAACCCTTACTCCAACTCCAAGAATACATTCTGTAAATGGTTTCCTTAGGTAATAACAAACTAATTGTCGTCGTGTTAATATGTTATAAAATTGAACTAGACGACGAACACGTGGATAAACACTCGACAAGATCATAATATCACGATCCGGTAAAAATCCTATGATATGAAACCAAACATCATCATTTAAATCATTTACTGTACATGTTGAAGCATTTTCGGAAGCATTTTTTGAAACAATTCGAGGCCTTGCGACGTTATGGGAGGCATTCAATATACTAGAACCGCCAGCATCCATTACATCAATTTCTTCTTGCAATTCTTTGTTAGTAAGGACGGCAATTAATGGTTTAACAGCTTCCCGATCATTAAATCCACATAATTTACATTGATAAGCTTTTACGATTTGTTCAGAATGCTCTCTAAAACCGATATCTTGACATTGGATTTTTTCAACATATCCATCTTCCTGTTCAACATTATTATCCGAGAAAAAACTCAATAATTGTAAAAAAACATATTTAAGCAAATAACCGGGGGTGTAACCTCCATTGTAATTTCTAGAGTCACGCATAACCGTATAAGTCTGTAATATGTCGGCACAAATCATTCCATTACTGAATACGTTGGGATGTATTACTGGCGTTTGTATTGTTATTTTTGGTGCTTTTTGAGGGTATTCCGCGGGTACTTTGACCTTGCAATGTAATCTTAGGTTACTAAATGGACCTTGATACGATGTCAATATTAAACACATTGAGGTAATATCATCATCGTGTATTTTAACTTTAATCCCTTTAAGTGGTTCATTATTTAATTCAACTATTTCACGTTTTAAACGTGGCAAACAAGCTGAAGGAACCATATGAAGCGACATAATTTTAATTAAGCTAATTTTATTCGGTATAGTAATATTTTATTTATATATTTTTTTTCTATCGAACTTGTCGTTTAAAAAATGTTCTTTCCTTAATATAAGCAAAAATTCAGACTTTTATTTCCTTTCAAATTTCCAAATATGGCACATTTCCATTGCTTATTTATGTTCAGATGACGTTTTAATCGTATGACAACAATGGAATGACAATCCTTTGAATGATAAATTATGACTTTTTTATCAGGTAATTTTTTAACGTACGCAGCATCGTTACCTCCGCATAATTCAGAAAAAGATGTACAAATAATGCACACGTGATAAATTTTCCTATGTTTTACATGTTTTTACGGACAAAGGCAAAATTTTATTGATTCTCTTTGGTAACACCTTGAGAAAATTTGGCACACCAATTATAACAATTTATACAATTTATGAACTATAATTTTTAAATTCTCAAAATAAATTGTTGCCCGAGGTTGAGGTTTAAAATTCTCATCAAATTATTTTTTTTTTAAAAAAAAAATATACAATAAGATTTTATCCTAATGTAATTTCTTTGTTTTTCCTTTACGATATTTTGTGTTGTATTGTTAGCAATGATTGTAACAAATCGTGGCTTAGACTTTCAAGTATCGTATCCTGTTAAAAACTATTTGTGTAAACTGCATCATCTTATGACACAAAACGGTGTATAGTATTAGTGAGCCAACAAATGTTTCTCGGCGTTTCCATAAAATTGACCTTGAGTCTTCTATCGATTACTGATTCCGTGACGGGTTACATCCGTTCCTGAGTCAAATATGCGACAAATAAATCACACGTTCAGAGGAATCAACCAAATGATAAATAATATTTGAAACAAAATGACCTTATATTGGAATTTTTTTTTTCTTCATTGTTTATAAAGAATTAATAATTCATACATTATATCGCAAACACAATAATCATCCACCATCTCTGTATACGATAGTCGTTCTATTTATATTTCTTAACTATATATTTTTTATTTTCGTGAATTTTGTCACACGAAATAGAATCTCTGTTGTTGATGGACGGACATCTGGTGGATAATCCGTTCTACAGGTTAATGGAATGATTAGATGGAAAAAGGAAATTAAAATAAACAAGTCTGTACGGGTTGAGATTGCAGTATCTGCTTATTTTTATTTTTATTTTTTTGATTTAGGTTATATTAAGATACATGTATATGCTATGTAGCACGTTTGAGTCACAAAAATTTTGTTCCTTTTTTCTTTCTTTTTAATTACATCTTTTTAACATTAATCAGCAAATGTATGACCTCATTAATAATTGATATGAAATAAAGCCACACATGATAATTTACATTTTGTTTTACAATGATGGTGTGATTGTGTGATGATGACTTTTCCAAAAAAAAAAAAAATATTCACAACTTGCCTGAAAAAAATAAATCAATATACAGGACGTGAAGTTCGATTGCGACCGAATTTTAAAACGCGGCTCAACCGATTCGGCGTACGGTACCATGTTGAATTTCACAAATTTCGAAATGATCACTTAAATTTCTCATCTCGCCTCATTGATAAACTTTACATTGACATTGTAAAAAAAAAAAGGAACAATAAGTTTGATTTCAAGGATTTCAAGTGGATTAAAGAAATTCAAATAGAAAATTTTGGATCTATTTTAAAAAAAATCTTAGAACCTGATTCTTAGCAATCTTCTCATATCACACACACAAATGTTTTAAAAAGTTATTGAATGCAATTCTAATATCTTTAAATAAAAGTTGGTCCTCAAAAGCATGGGTTAAAAGCTGTAAATAGATGCTGGGAAAAGACGTCCTGAAACCTTGGATCTATACATAATATTGACGGTTTTTCCATCATATTTAAAAAATCGAATAAATGTCAAAAAGAAAGCATGTTTACGTAATGCCAGTGAATAACCGAGACAAGTGTGAAAAACACGTTAATTCCAACAAAACAATCCATCTAGCATATAAAATGAAAAGATCCCGTTGTATTTTTAGCCGAATATCAGCGTTAGTAGACTAAGCGGACTAAGCGACTTATGAAGTATGATAAAGACATGCTTCATAATCTGAATACGTTTTTTTTCGTTTACATACTGTATATTCGGATTTTTTAGCAGAGGTTGTCACGTATAATATAACATCAATGATTGAATTTCTAAACTTGGATAAGATGATTTTTTTTAATATTACCGACTACTCGTCTTTAAATAAAATGAGATAAGTCGACTTTAATTTAAAAAAAAAACCCTTTGAAAGGTATTAGCTTTAGTTAATCGGGACGTATTATCATACAAAAGAAATAAAATTCGGATCGATGAATTGTATGTAATACTGAATTTATGAAGTTTTAAAATTTTTAAAATTCCCAAAAAAGTCAAATTTATGTTCTCAATTCGTATTCAAAAGAACAATTTATTAATAAAAAACATGACGAAAATGCGTGTTACTTTAACGTTTCTATACCAATTGATGTAAAAGAATTTTTATGCAAAAGATTGAAATACCGAATAATATTCATCTGATTAGAGCATCATAACGCATAGCGCATAACGCCACCATCATTCTTATTATACTTTTTCATGAAGAATTTTAAGGTTAAGAAATAATAAACCTTCGAAAGAATACTTCTGGAAATAATGAAATGATGGCGTAATTTCTAAATTAGGGTTGTCTATAGTTTAAAATTCAAGATGCTTATTTTTTTGCCCCCGCAGAAACGAGTTTCCTTTTTTTGCCATCTATAATAAATATAACAAAAATAGCACGACACGTTACATTAATAAATATTTCCATTCAAGAATCTTTTTTTTTTTTCGTAATATCATCTGGTTATAAATCCAAGATACTTTATAATGATTTTTTAATCCTGATTTAAGAATTCACGACCATATTTAGGGTTTAGAACATTTCTATAGAAATTCCAAACAAAAACATGATTAGGTTACCGGGGATCTCCATGTTATCATGGAGATGTAAGTCCGTGTACGCATCTTTGTTCATACTTGTTGTGTTTCATTATTCTTTCAAAATGGATGGGATGCCAAGTATCTAACATTGAATGAGCCTAAAAATAATACTCTTGTGCCCGTGTTGTAGTGCTACACTCATGATTTGATTGGCGTTGTATTCTTGTAAAAAGACCAATTTTAACAATGGATTGATGTTTTTTGTTGAATGAAAAAAGATTTACGTGTAATGTGAAACACGAAAAATATATGCTGTGAATGAGTTTCAAGTTTTTTTTTTTTTTTTTTTTTTTTTTTTTTTTTTTTTTTTTTTGGAAAGGAAAAAAAATTTTTATTTTTTTTTTTTTTTTTTTTTTTTTTAAAATAAAATTTAAAAAAAAATTTT